AGAGATCCAACAGAAATGTCTGGTAGCTGTAGTATCTTGATGCAAAATGCTGTAATGGCACTGTTTGCTGTCATTTTCTTGGCTGAACAATTGGTCGCTGGTTGATTGCTTATTAAAGCGTGCAATACTTCATCTTTGAGCTGTTTGGGGAGGAGTTGCGGGGGGGGGGGGAGGGTGAGATTGTGAGCACTTTTGAATTGCTCAGGCTTGGTATTGAGTTTTGGAAGCAGGAGGTCTCGCCACCCTGTGAGGTAATCGTTGAGTAATTGCTATTGATCAACAAGCCTATCAACCCCCCAAAGATATATTTAGGTAATTTTGTGCTATGGAGCAGAAAAAATGATACTGATTACCTTTTAATGAACCGAAGCCTAATTTCTGAATGAAGATTGTTATTATTTACTGTGCTGTATGGTCATGCTAACCCACCAATATGGTCAAAACTAATGTAAGCTTGATAGGGTGGAGTTTCTCCTTCGCAGCATATAGTAGAAGTTGAGGGCATGACCAATGTGCTTGTTCAGCAACATCCTTGTACTTCTGAGCCTCTGTGACCCCGCTGCTGACACTTGACATCCCCTCTTGACTCAGCACTGACAGCAGCCTACTGTACTGCACATATGCACCACTCTGACTCACAGCTTGTCAAATTCCAGCGCTGCATCTATTCTCACTACCTTCCATATATTCATTCTTGGCAACAAAAAAAAAACAGCTGGTTTCTGTCGGTGCGTTTCCCAGTGATCCATTTTGAAGGCGATACTGTTCGATACTGGTGCAGCTGAGGTCACAGTGATGACATGTGCACTGTGTGGTGCTTTTCTTGCCTAGAAAGTAAGATGCGCCATGCTTGCAGGAGTACATTATCTGCCCCGGGCGGCCCAGGGATATTGCAAGCTTTATTTTTAGCTCAGTGATGTGTATAAATCAACATTAGGTCAGTCGGGTTCCAGTAATGACAACGTTGACTAAGGCTGACCAGTCATCCGATTGGTGCATGGGACTCTTCTTTATAAACTGCTAAGGATGGCAGAACAATGTAAAGAGCCCATGGAGAAAGAGGGAAGGAGAGAGAGGAACAAAGGCAGAGCAAGGGAAACATAGAGCCGAGCGTTGAAAGTGAATGAAGGATGGAGTGAGGTAGAGGAAGATGAGGGAAGAAAAGAGGCATCTCAGCATTTCTGCTTGTGCCAAATCGTTACTGTAAAGTATGTGTGTACCCTGTACGTACATACGGACGGACGGACGGACAGACGGACGGACAGAAGAATGAGTCGGCTCATTGAAATTCTGTCCACTGCGCTTCACAGGCCCTTAATAGGCAGCCTCGGGGGTGGAGAGGTAGGCCTACTGTAGAGTAGTGCAGATTGGGCTGTGGATGACTCACGCTGCTATCCTCCAGTGAATATCTCAGCATCATGACTTTGCTCTGCACACTCACGGAGTTTGGATTCAAGGGCTTAGGCGCTTTTTGGAGGAAGGGATAGCATGCCACAGAGTGCTTAATCTGAAACCCTGTGATGGTGACCAACAATTCATAGTGCACTTACTGAGCATCTATCACATCTGCTTTTACAGTCGACACACGCATCCACTATGAAGAACAAGGTATTAAACTCGACAGTGATGGATCACCATAACTGCCAGTCCCCCTCCTAATGAAAATATATGTGTGTGCTCACAACTAGAGCATTTAGTTTGATGCAAGCTATAATACTTTTACAATTTCCCTTCGCAACAAAAATAGTTTGCCATGTAGGCTTTGAAGATAGCATTTTCCAACAACCCGCTGTGCAACATAACGGCTCAGAGAATATTAATAGAGTGTAAAGCCTTGTACCCTAAAATGCTTTTTCAGCTGTTTATGCATGGTCGTGACAGAAATTGTGATGAGACGCATCCATTCCAGTCATAATCTTGACAATATATCACACCGCATTCCGCAGTATGTATTTCCTTTTTTTGTGAGTATCCTGGCTTATTCATCTGTGACCAACAAAGATAACATCAAATAAGATGGACAAGATGTTCCTTCCATAAGTATCACTTTCCAGGAAAGAAATACACCCTTATGTTGAAATATCCATATATTTATTTACATACAACAGGTGAAACTGACATTTATAAAATATTGTGGGCTCTCAAAGTTGTTGGGACTAGTGCTACAGCAATTCATAATTTAATCAATTGGAAGAACATTTATCATTTTTGCACTTTTCAGAAAAATGCCAAAACATTGGATTGAACCAGATTTTTAAATGTGAGTAATAGCTGCCGTTCAGGGTCCTAGATGAAAGTATGTGGAGTATTCAGGGGTTTCAGAACTTGTATTTGACCAAGACATAACAGTTAAGACAATAACCGTATGCCTTCAGATATTGTTATGTACATGTTTCTCTGTTTTTGGATTTGTAATATACCAAAAGTTTGGAAAACGAAACCATAATGTAAGCAATTTGTAATTGCGGGATTAACCCAGGGAAGGTGTTCTGGAGAAGAACAAACAATTAAACATACAGTATAGGCTATAATATTGTCCTAAAAGCGTCAGTCTTACCCAGTTAAATATCCTTTGACTATCTTTTACTAATTGTGCAGACCCAAAGACAGAGTCTATCGTCACCCTTTAATACACCATAATTATGGCCCATATTCATAGTTTTGAGCTTTTTCCCCCCTAATAGTTTATATTAAATCATATCATTTTTTACAACATCCACAACAAAGAATATGTATCTGTATACGTGCAACTTATTGTGACTGGACAAAAGAGTGGCTGGGTGTTAAAAGTGATTATCCCACATCACAAAAACATCATCCATTTACCTTATCCATTTATCTGCCATTATCAAAACACCAAACCTCTCCCTTCCTCAGTGAGATGAAAATTAGGAGAGAATCATGAACCAGCTCTACATGCTTCGCTCCTTTCCATTTCTGAAATCACCCATATTAATTAGCCGTGCTTGTTTAGGAGCTCATCTATATTTAAGCAGCTCGATCCATAATTCAAAAAGGAACTCGAAAGATCACCTCAGTTGTTATTTTGACACAATTAGACAATTTCCTGTTGTGGTTTACCGCTCTGGCTGAGGACGTCAACTGTCTGGAAGAATCTGAGAAGTGACGATGCCGTAAAAATAATCGCTTATGACATGCTGTAGTGTTGCATTATGGGTCATAGGTGACTGTTTCTGGCTTATTATAAAGGGAGAGGATGAGTCAGTCACCATATCAAATAGAGGGTCAAATAAACATCAGTTCTCTATACTTGACTTAAAGTAAGTGTGATTGTGGGAATCAAGTGTGGTATGAGTTCTCCTGGGGGAACATTACTTAGACACACACACACACACACACACGCACACGCACACGCACACGCACACGCACACACACACACACACAGCCATGTTCCACTGGACTGTGTCTGAAACAGTGGATGGTCTTTGAATTCAAGCATCAGACAGGATAGGGAGAGAACTGCTTTTGTATTCGTAGCTGAAAACTATAAAATGCTTATTGGCCTATTCTGAAGCTGATGTCGGAGATGCTGCTGTTGTTTTTCGCTTCATGGAAAATAAATACAAATATCTCAAGCTTAACCAGGGATGATAAATAAGGAGTCTTAAAAGGAGGGAGAGGGAATGCCATGTCTATATAAGAACAACAGATGCATTAGAAGAAGCCATTTAGGCATTTTAAAAGTCACAGAGAAAGAGAATTGTGACCTAAAGAAAGGTGTTACCAGTGGACACAAATACTGTTTACATGAATTAAATTGTACGACTGGTAAAAGCTTGGTTATTATTCTGTGCCTATGTCGTGTTTCCTTAAGTTAAAACATAAGTTAAAGCAGTGCAATAAGGCCAGAAAGCTCTGACAGCAGCCAAGAAAGAAAAGACAAAGTACCTCATTTACCAAAGGTCTTTAGCCACACATTTTTCACTAAAGAACTGAAACAGCTACTTTGGGGAAACAAATCCATATTAATGTCTCCAATGCAGTGTGATTTCTGAGATTACCCACGAAAGATGGCTCTCAAATCTCATTTACATCCCCCCCTCCCCACATTTTCTTGATTGATTCTCAAAGTTGGGTATACTGTTAAAAGATATTTTTGTACCCCAACCGAGAAGATTATAGTTTAGTCCGTCTGTCTGTCTGCAGGATGTCTCAGGCACCTCAAAACAGATTTCTGACAGCCCTGGGCGAAGGAACAGATGATTAGATTTGGGCTGTGAGCCGGATCTAGGACTCGTTCAATTAGACAATTATAATCTTTCAGCTGTTTTTTATACGGAGATGGATACTCAATTTCACATGCAAATGGGGGGTTGGCAGGATCTCTAACGGGTTCTTTCTTCAAATATATAAATATCAAAGAAAAAAAGAGTCTTGAGTTTCCAAAGGTATCTTTGCTTTGTTCCACCTAGTAACACTTATTTCTCCTCTTATGGTATTGAGGTCATGGGAAACATGGACAAGCTACAAATATAGTGTATGAACTGTAGTTTACTAGTTTGACCCTTTTTTAAAGATTAGCTTAATATTTGTTTATCTTCTTTATTGCAGAAAATAAGAGAAACTGTATTTTTGTTCTCATTTGTGTTTGTGGTAAACTTGTTTGCATAAAGTTGTGATTATGTGTTGGCTAGCTGTTTCCCCGTTCCTAATCATTTCCTGAATGTGACGTGCTGCTCTATTTACTGTAGGTATTGCTGTAGATTGTAAGGCCTCTTTTGTCTTGTCTTCTCAACAAATCAAGCTCTATAAAAAAGATGAATTACTGTTTACCACCTCATCAGGTTTGTTCTGCATAGTCTTGTTATAACTGATGACGTCTTTCACGCTGACCTATCAAAAACACTCACTATGAGGACAGACGTGTGTCGCAGCATCGCAGCCCTCCTACACATGATCCTAACTGAGCTTATATGTCCTCCCTCTCTCTCCTTTTTCTCCCTTCCTCCCCCCTCCTCCTTCTCTCCTTTCCAGATGCAAGGTGTGCCGTCCCCCCCTCCTATCATCATCACCATCATCGCTCCCAAGCCCACTCCTTCCACGCTCCCTCGTACGACCGTCCCGTTCACGAACGTCCCGCCTACGACCGTCCGCCCCTCAACCGTCCGCCCCTCAACCGTCCTTCCTTCAACCGTCCCTCCTTCAACCGGCCTTCCTTCGACCGTCCATCCTTCGACCCTCCCTCGTTCAAACTTACCCCGCACGAGCGTCCCGTCTACGAGCGCCCCTCACACGACCGTTCATCCCAAGACCGCTGGAACCCCCATCTCAGTGTGAACCCCGGAAATCAGAGCTACATGTTGGACCAGGAGGAGGTATGCAACCCACACACCAGGAATACACTGATACTGTTTTTGCAGTCGAACAAATAGTGCATTAGTATTAGATATTATTTATCATGTGAGAAATAAAATGACCATTTCCACTGAAGGTGGACTAGACTTACCACTCTAATGTAAAAATTCATTATATTTCACTTATCTTGACGTCTAACATATTTAAGTCGTAGGATTATAAGTTTTCTCCACAAAAATGAAGATTGACTATTACAATTTTTATCGGTTCCCAAGTTTTAATAAAAAATGGCACAATATTTATTCCCAGTGTAGCTGACACCAAGCCCTGGCCTAACCAGGTTTGTATTAGTTAGATTAGTCGCACATTTGTAAGTACCATGTCATTGTCTTGATATAATGGAAGTTCATTTAGGTGGACACGTTATAGATGAAGACCAATATCAGCCTAAAGTGATCGCCCCTGAATCATTTAGGCTGAATGTCTGCTGGATTGGTTGACATTTAATGTGAAGTTCGAGGTTAGTCAAAACATCTGGTCTACGGTCAGGCTCATTGATCATCTGATGGATTTCTGGCATGTCAACTTTGCAGTGTGAGCATAAGATTGACTTTTCTAAAACAGAAAAACACCGAATATATATGCAATATCAATTTGAAAAATCATTAACATTCAGAGTACTACTCTTTAAAGGAAAAGGTTGGTAATATCCTTTAGTTTCCCCATTGTCAAAAAGTCCCATTAACAGCTATGGTTCTAGCCTGATATAACTTATTTTGAGATATGAAAAAATGTTGCACACAAACTATTGAAAACCACATCAACGAGTCACACTTTTGCATTGGATGACATTTGCAGGTTACTGCATAACCAACATGTCCATTGTACCATAAATACTCACTAAAGAACCCTCTGTATATTGATCGACCCGACCAATGTCCTCCATACTCCTCTTTGAATAATGTTAACTAAAAAGTACCCAGTAGTTGTTTTTTTACCTTTTTAACTTCACCATGTATTTGTGACCCATTTCTTGAGATGAATGTCTTCGGCTTGGTGCTGAGTTCCATAGAAAGGGTTAGAAAGAGAAAGTTTCCCTTTCCAGTGCCCTGACGTGGCTTTAAAGGTAGAAAGCATCTCCAACCAGTGTAGGCCTACATGTGTTGCTTCTGTGTTGCTTTAAAATGCACCATGCAGATGGACATGTCAATAAGTTATTACATTAAAAAAGATTTTGAATAGCAGATTGAAAGCGCTTTAGAGTGTACTTATTCCCTAATAGCTTTATATAAATATTTCTTAATGCATATTTATTTTACTTATTAGACAGAACACAAAAGGGCCAGTTTAAGTAAACACATGTGGATGAAAATGCTTTAATAAAAGCAGTGTTCTTCAGCCTGCATTTATCTGGGGAATGATTTAGCAGTTGTTCCGTTCTTTAACACATTCACAGCCGAAAGCTTCACGGTGAAAACTGCAATTTTCTGCTGTTAAACTCGCAGAATATACATGAAAAAAAGACCTTTCTGAATATTTGTTCTCCTGTTACTAACCTTGTTAGTGTTGATTCACTTAAATACTTGTGTTCCCAAGTTTGTGTATGGATGTCTTACAAACACAGATGCATCTCTAAACCTGCTGCTGATTGTGAGTAAGATCTCATCCTGTTCCCTAGGCCAGGAGAGGGTACTGTTCTTCAACTTTCATACATTCTGATTTGCAAAAAAACATTTCCACACACCTTATTACACAGTTTAAGGCAAGATTGGAGATTCATAACACCATTTTAAAATCCATAGGTCTTACATATAATGTTGGTCTTAAATTAGTTTGAAAGCCTTTAACTCTGAAGCATCTGCACTTTATAGAAGTACAACAGGTTAGCTTCATGTCTGGGCATCAGCACAGCAAATCTGGGGTTTATTATTATTATATTTTCACAATAGTTATCTCCCTCAATGTTGCATGTATTTTTGTATATCTTACACAGTATGTATTTGAGCACAGTGTTTGATTCTAGCCCTGTGCGGACTCAAATTCCTACAGTATTTTCAGCTATGTTGGCGACTCAATAAAGCAATGAATCATCATGTGGCCGGTCAAAGCACACGGGTGGCGACTTTACTGTAGAGTGTGTGCACGGCTGCCAATAGCGCTTCAGCTTGTCATCACTCAGAGGAATAGAGCACGCTGTGATCCCAATGAGAGACCTGTAGGCTCTGGAGGGATTCAATGGAGAGCCCAGTTCAATTAATCTGAGCCCTATCCCTGTCTAATTGTGCCAATAAGGCAGCAGCTGTGAATGGATCTGCAGCAGGACTGACGTGCTGATAGCCGTCACCTCGGCGACGGCAAGAGGCTTTAAATATTCATGCCCGTCACTCACCTCATGCAGAGCTGGTGTCTCTCACACACACACACACACACACACACACACACACACACACACACACACACACACACACACACACACACACACGCACACACGCACTTGCCCTTCAATTTACTTCCATATGTTTTAGATGGCTTCAGTGGCTCTGCAAAAAAAAGCAATCATACTGTACATTTCCATAGCGGAGAATCAGGACTGTGTTCTTGTTTTCCCACCCATGTGGCTGCTTCCTGCACATTTTGGTACGAGCCTTTGATATCACCTCTATGATTTTCTGTTTGTTTATGTGCTTGGCATCTGAGGTCAGCATCACCTATCCTATCCCCTCTTCCTTCTCTCCCTCCCTCTCTCTTTCTCTATTTCTCTCTCTCTTGTCTTTGCCTCCCCTATGCTCAATTCTGTTTTTGATGCCCTACATTGATCCATCACTCTTACCTTTCCTCCTCTTCTTTCTCCCTCTGTTGCCTTCTATCTCCCACCTCTTTTTATAAAATCCATCTGTTCTTCAATCTCTCCTCTCTTCCCTCTCTTTCCCTTCCTTCTGTCTCCATAGTCATTGCAACCACATGTCTTTCATCCCTCTCCATCTTTCTTACCCTCCCCTCTACTGTATCTCTCCTTCACAGTTTCCCCCTTTTTGTTTGCCCTTGCTCCTCACCTCATCCACCCTCTCCCGCCTTCCTCCCACCCTCTCTCTGGGGTGACTGGCAGGAGTCTTTGGCTCTCCCACATGCCACCTGTCTCTGTGCTCCTCACAGCTCCATTCACTTGCTTTATCTTCCTATTTTTTAATGAATGATGGCCATCATAAAGCCGCAGTAGAAGCGTCCTCCTGGTGAGCTGAGATGTCGCTTTGGGGAACAAGCTTTCTTTGTTGTTTTCTGAAATATGTCACTTGTATATTTCTGTTAATCCTGTGTGTAGCTCCTGGTGTGATGGGTTTGCTGAACTGTTTCTTAGTGATGGAGTGGAGGCACTTCATAGGGATGGAAAGGGATAACACCCTCCCTGACATGGCTCATTATAATTGCCAAGCATAATGGACACGCTGACAAGATTTGTTGTCTGAGTGGCACGTTTTGACACTGTGCGTCCAGGGCAAAATACCCTTGAAAGTTCAAGAAACGCCTGTGAAATTAAAATGATGTGGCAAGACATGGCGCCTATAATTACAGTGCCCTCTTTTTTGTCATTCTGTACTCAGAAGTAAACGTGACTTCTTATGCCATCTCTCTTGTGCCTCTGCACTCTTTGTGATTGGCAGTATATTGAAATGAAAATCTTTCACTCAGAAAACAAGCGAGCGTGCAGCCTGAAGCAGACGAACATGTCACTTTGTGTTACTTGTGTGATCATATATTAGGATTAGCAGGAAAAAATGTTTCAGTAAAAATGGATGCAATGCAACACTTCTAAAATTAGCATAGAGTTGAATCAACACTTCTGGGATGCAGTCAGAACAGAAATGTTAAATCGTATGGTTCAGAAAGTTACTCATTTATGCAGAAATCATGAATTGGATTACATGGAATCTGGGAGTTGTGTTTTTTTCTTTTTAGGCCACCCTTAAAACTACAAATGCTACATCCTGTCTATGTGTCATTGGATATTTTCATTAACTATTCAATTCTCTTTGACGAAATATGTTTTTGCACTATACATTGTGACACCATCAGCAAAAGGAAAGAGAAGTTGAACTGAAAAACTTTAGTAAATGATTAATCACTTGAATAAAAATAAAAAGCCAAACATTCATTGCTTCAGTTTCTCACTTGGGAGCTTCTCTTGCATTTCTTTATGTTCTTTGACAGTAAAATAAATACATTTGGGCTGTTTGTTGGACAAAACTTGTAATTTTCACAATTATTTTCCCGACATTTTCTAGAACAAATAATAATTTCAAATGCACAAAATTAGCTTCTACTGGGCCACCAGTGCCTAAACCCCTGCCCAGTAAGCCGGTTCAAGTGCCTTGCCTCCCCCTTTCAAATCTGAGAATCTCCAATAAGTGCCCCTTCTGGCCCAAAAAAAGACCTTAAGAAAAATCTGCTAATTATTCAATAAAAAAGTAAAAGAATGTGTGCATAGTGAGCAGCAGTGCACTAATGTTTTCATCATGAGAACTTTAAAGTTAAGCATAGATTGACTGATCATTGATTACAGTTTGACTTTGGCCCTAATGACTAATGTCATAACTGGTTAATATTTCATTTATTTGAACACATTTAAAGACATTTGCAGTAGTTAAAGAATGTGGAATGTTTTAATGAAGCAGGCTGGTTGTGGACTTCCTCTCTTATATGACCACTTGGGAAAAATCTGGGTAGGAAAAATCAATGCAGCCAATTATAAAACTGAGTAATACATTTTCTGCCACTCGCATTTCTTTGACTCTTTTAAAGAATGCTTGAGGAATGACTGCAATTTCCTCATTACTGAATCTCTCTGAAGGCTGCTCTGCCTCTTTCTGTCCTGTAGGGGGAGCGAGAGGGCTAGCATTGATTGCTGCCTGCCATCCTCTCCTCCTCCTCTTCCTCTTCCTCCTCCTCCTCCTCCTCCTCCTCCTCCTCCTCCTCCTCCTCCTCCTCCTCCTCTCGTCTCACATTAATATGAGGTGACAGAGTT